TGTGGTATATATACACAATGGAATACTACTCAGCTATAAAATCGAATGAAATACTGCCATTTGCAACAACATGGATGGACCTTGAGAAAATTATATTAAGTGGAACAAGTCAGGCACAGAAAGAGAAATACCAGTTGTTCTCACTTATTGGTGGGAGCTAAAAATAAATAAATAAATTCACACGCACACACAAAAAAACCGGGGGGTGGGGAGAAGACTTAACAGTACAACTCCTTGAAGTTGATAAGACAAGCAAACAGAAAGGACATTGTTGGGTGGGAGGAGGGAGAGGGAGGAGGGAGGGGGGTTTCGGTAATGGGCCGCAATAATCAACCTCATTGTATATCGACAAAATAAAATTAAAAAAAAAAAAAAATGACAGACCATAAACTACATACATGTAAAGTGTACAATTTGTTGTTTTGACTTTTGTATGTACCCATGAAACTATCACCACAATGAAGTTAATATAATGAACATATCCATCAATCTCAAAAGGTTTCTCATACTCCTTTTGTATTCACTCCCTCTTGTCCTCTGCACCTCTATTCCCCACCATCTCTAAGCAAGAACTGAAATGCTTTCTGTTACTATATATTAATTTGCACTTTCCAGAATTTTACATAAATGGAATCATAGAGTACGTATCCTTTTGGGGGGGGTAGGGGGGGTCCTACCTTCCACTCAACATAGTTTTTATAAGAATCATCCATGTTATTATACATATAACATGCCTTTTTATTGCTAAGTAATATTCCATTATACAGGATATACCACAATTTGCCAATGTACCAGTGATGACCATTTGTGTTGTTTCCAGTTCGGGGCTACTACAAATATAAAGTTGCTATGAAATCCATGTACAAGTCTTTGTTTAGACATATGTTTTAGTTTCACTTTGGAAACTAGAAATGAAATACATGACTCATATGGTAGGTTGCACGTTTTACATATTAGGAAATTACCAAGGTGTTTTCCAAAGTAATTGGATCCTTTTACATTCCCATCCAGCAATGTAAGAGAGCTCAGTTGTTCCACATCCTTGCCAACACTTGGCATGACAGTGTTTTAAATTTTGGATATTCTAATGGGTGTGCAGCAGTATGTCATCATGATTTAAATTTGCATTTTCCTAATTACTAACGATGTTCAGAATCTTTTTATATGCTTATTTGCCATTCATATATCTTCTTTGGGTGAAGTACCTGTCCAAATCGTTTGTTCATTTTTTAAATTGGATTGTTTCTTTTCCTACTATTGACTTCTGTGAGTTCCTACTATATTCTGGATACAAGTCTTTTATCAGATGAGTGATTTGTAAATATTTTCTCCCAGTTTGTGGCTTGTCTTTTCATTCTTTTAACAGTGTGTTTTGAAGAGCAGAAATTCTTAGTTTTAATAAGACAAAATTTAAAATTGTTTCTTTCATGGATCGTGCTTTTGGTTTCATATCCAAGAAATTTTTGCCAAACTCATGGACATGAAAAATTTTCTTTTATACAGAAGTTATTAACAGATATTTATTAACTAGTTTTTCCTGATCTTTGCTTGGTCACACATTGGTAATACTGAACCCTACACAACGGTGTTCCATAAACAATCTTTACTTTGTACATTTTTTGTTTTCCTCCTCAACATCATGCAGTGCTGCACTATACCATGCAATAAATACTTATTGAACAAATTAATCCACAATGAGAAATGAATTGCCAGTGCACAAATACAAAACTGTATTTAATATGAGCATTTTTTAGATTAATATGTTTGAGGGCAATTATCCTATTTTTTCAATACAAAAGATCACATGGTCTATTGGGTTCACTCTGTAGGCTTTCATGGAACAATTTTACAAATTTTAATGTAATAAACATTTATTGAGCACCTACTACATGCAAATTACTGAGCTAGGTATTGTATGGAGATTCAGAGATGTAAATGGCAACAGCTACCTACATGGGTGGCACACGTTTTATACACGTTATTTTTAATCTTTAATTTAAAGATGAGGAAATTAAGGCTTAGAAAAGGCTAAGTGATGTGTTCAAGGGCACAGCTAGAAACTGGTTGATTAAGATTTATATCGAGGCTTAAGTTAGGAAATAAAAGAGCCATGATTTGAGGCTATCTGACTCCAAAGACTATGCTCCCAACAGTGTACCATCTTAAGGCAATATCGTTACAATTCTAAGTAAAGTACAAGTTCTATTAATTTGGTACCTGAGAAAAATCTTCAGCTGCTACTGGTAAATTAACATCATTTTCTTGTGCTGTCAGAAGTGTTGTGGGAAGAACAAAGTTAGAATTTGGCTCCGATTCTCCCAAACTCATTGGACCACGACCAGCACATGAACCTTCATAAATACCACCTGTTATCAAATATGTAAACAAATAGTTAAAATAAATTGTTAAATTTATCTTAGACAAATAATAAGTAATTGACTAAAACTACCCATATTCCCACCTGCTGAATTAGAATTAGCAGTATATGTCAACCAAAACCACCTGGTACCAGGCCACATAGCAATTAAAACCAAAGCTCACAGAGAACGCAAAAGTACCTATGTTCAAACAAATCCACAGAATATCCAATCAACAAGTCGCCCATGTAGTTCATTCCCATCCCCCTTCTCACACACCATCTCCTAACACTCCTGCTTACCTTTTCTATCATTGAGAGTCAATAGAATAATTTCTGTCTAAAATGTAATCCCAAAGCAAAGGGCAATTTCTTGGCTAGAAAATGTTGGTATTGCTTAGTTAGGTCTGTTCTATAGATATTTTTCTTCAAATAATCAAGCTCCTCTTTGTCTCATCTAAATGGCACCTCAGTCAAATCAATAAAAAGAAGAAAATAAAAGCAGAGATACCTATGTACCTAATAATAAAGTCACTGTGCATTTGTATTGCATTTTATACTCCAAGCCTTTTCATGTACATCATCTTGTTTAGTTTAAACTTCACAATTATTCTGTAAGATAGACAGGTCAGATTATATTATAATCATCTTTCACTAACAAAACTAAGCTCCAGAGAAATTAACCAACTCTAAAAATCAGAGAGCTAGTAAGAGGCACAGAGGAATTAAAACCGACATCTTCTACCTCCTTATTCCACATTCTTGATAAAATATTTCAAAGAAAATTCTGTTTTTTCTAAATAATGGCTACCTTTTAAATACAGTATAGTATATCTAACTTTAATTAATAGAAATAGACCTGAAAAGTGATAAACTCAATTGTCTTAAATAAAATATTTTTTAAAAACTATAGATATTTTCCTCTAGCAAGGAAAAGGAACTCTCTTAGAATTAATAAGAGAATTTGGTGATGTTATTGGATACTAGATAAATATATAAAAATAATTCGCTCTTCTCTATATTATAGCAATGAGCACATAGAAATAGAAAAAAAACCTTTACTATACTGACCAAAACTATAAAATAATTAAGAATAAAATTATTAAGAAAGGCATAGAATCCATATGAAGAAAATTATAAAATCTTATTAAAGGGCACAAAACAAGATCTGAACAATTAGTAAGATACCATAAAAACATCAATTCTTCCACTATATAAATTAGTTTAACTCCACTGAGGGTGACTTTTAATTAGATAAAATAATTTTGAGTTTATATGAAAGAATAAGTGCCTAAGAATTGCCAAGAAAATTATGAAAAAGGAAAAAAAATGGGAGACTTGCCCTATTTGATAACAGAATGTATCATAAAGCCACAACAGTCTAATAAATGTTTTAGATCATAAAATACTTAGAATCCAGAATCCAGTAAAATATCCTTACATCCGTGTGAATTTAATATAAAAATTGGCTGATATTTCAATTCAGTAGAAAAAACATGATTTACATAATAATTGATGCTGGCTATTTATCTGGAAGAAAATCAAATTGGATTTCTACCTTATACCATTTATAAAAACAAATTCCAGACAGACTTAAATATAAGTATATACTAAATAATGAAAGAAAATCGAGGAGACCACAGATATAAGCTTGTAATCAGGGAAACCTAACCAAGCTATAAAAACACAGAAAGTATAAAAGATAGAAATACCTAACTGTATAAAAAAATTTTAATTATATGGCAAAAAAAGATCATAAACAATGTTAAACAAAATATAAATTTGGAAAAAGATATTTGCAATACGGATAATAGAAAACATCTAAAATAGAGCTTTTTATATAGCTTTTAAAAAGTGACAAGAAAAACTTAGAACCTAACAGATGGAAAAGAACTTAATAAGAGCAAATACATGTCCAAAAAACATATGAAAAGAAATATAAACTCACTAGTAGTCAGAAACATATCTTTATATTTGAACTAACAAAAGTAAAAAAAAGTAATAAACAATTTCAGGAGATGTAGGGAAAGGGCTCTAATAAATCGCTAATGAAATATATTGGTTTAAACTCTTAAGAAAGCAAGTTGGCATTACCCACTTTTAAATTAAAAATACATTTGCTCTTGGATCCAGTAACTACTCCTAGGAAGCTATTCTATAAATATAAAATGCAGTATGTTGGGATATGTGCATGGATATTTACTCTAGCATTGTTTATACAAGGGTACTTCAAAAAGTTTGTGGAAAAGTAGAATTAAAAGATAATATGAATCTTTCTATGAACTTTTGGAAGTACCCCCATAGTGGGGGGAAATGGTAACAAAGTAAATATCCATCAATAGAAAAGTAAAAAAAATAAATTATTTGAAATCTACACCATAAGATTTTATGCAACCTTAAAAAGAATGACTTTAAGTAAATACCAGATGATCTGGAGTAATCTACAGTGTTTACTGGGTAAAACAAAATGCAGGCAAGTGTGCATATGATCTCAGGTTGTAAAATAATGGCAATCGCACTCACCATATGTACTGCATACATGTGTGCGCATTTAATTATATGTGTAGGGAAAAAAAACCAGGAAGTTTACATATCAGAATTTTAACATGGGTTACCTGAGATAAGGCATAACATGGGACAGGAAAAAATGTGTATGTGAGTAGGGTGGGAGGTTGTGTAGAGGGCACTCAAGAAGTGCATGATAGCTTTCCAATCCTACAACACCCTATCATTCAACAGATATATACTATGTACTATGCATTATATAACCTGCTAGATGACAGGGATATGACAAAAGTCCCTAGCCTCATGTGAGATTACAATCAGTGTGATAAGAGCAACATTAAGCAGGCAACATTAGAGGATTATAAAGAGTACATAAGACAAGTATCTAACCCAGTGATAAGGAGTCAGGAAATAATTCCATGACAGCAATCATAACAATGCTAAATTTACTGTGTCACTTATAAAAAGTATGCTCATTGAGCATGGGTGTCTTATCTGTGTAATGCAAGTTAGACATTTGTAAGAGTGATACTTAAAGTATATTATTTCACTCAAATGAAATTTGATTAATCATAACTTGAAATCCCTAATTTTACTTTTCTAGAATCTTACTGTAAAGCAACCATGGCAGACTTTCAGAGAAGATTGAGTTCACCTAACATTGCCAGTGCCAATGGCAGTTTTTGGTCTGGCATGTTTAATAGATTATTCCATTTGTATGAAACCCAAAGGCACCTCGTGCCTTTACATTTAAACGTGTATAAATCTCCACTTAACCTATTTCTTCCTAACTCTGCCTTTCCTCCATATTCCCTCTCTCTCAGTGAATTGGATGACCATCTATCCAATCATTCTATAGCCAGAAATGTAAGGATTTCTTATACTTTCCCCTTCTTTTACACCTCTCACATTCAAACTAAGTCCTGTCCATTTTTCTTAATTGTCTCTCAAATCTCCCTTTTTATATATCCTCACCACTGAATAATGCCTCACCAGGCTTACTCTAACAGTTGTCTAATCAGGCTCCTTGCCTCTAGTTGTAACTCTTCCAATGTATCCACCAAATTGAACCTGAGATGTTCTTGCTAAGTAAAAGGTAAATATGATCATATCAGCTATTTACTTATAATCCTTAATGGATTCATGAACATCATACATCATTCAGAACTGATAGAAATTCAAGACTGAATTTTCCATGGGAAAAAATATAAAGTAAGATTGGCATTATTTCCCATTTTTTACATAAATGGATCCTTACTGTCTTAGAGTAAATCCAAAAAGTCCTTGATATATCATCCAGGGTTTTTCATGACCTGGTTTCTGCTCACTGCTGTGATCTCATTGCATCCTAAGCTTTAATTCATTGACGAAGTACTTGTATTTCCCTGATTAAGCTTTGCTATTTCTCAACTTTTACCCCCGTCTCATTGCACAGTCTGCCTGGAAGACCCCTCCCCTCCTCGCTAACCACATGGCAAACAATATCTTTGAGGATGCATTTCATGTAGACAGTAGGAGGGGATTACAGGTTGTAAATAGAACACTTCCTGAAAATAAGCAGAAAATCTTGAAACAAGAGAAAGAAATTTGTTCCCTAAAGGCAAAGTCCTTTAGGCAACTGTGGATAGTTCTGGTTCTATTAAACATATGTGAAATGGTACTTTTACACACTCCAAGCATTATTAAAGAGAACAGCACTTACCATGTGCCATACACTGTGCCAACTGCTTTACGTGCACACTTTACCATTTACTGTCCCTAATAACCTTTTGGGGTAGATACTATTACCTCCAGCAGGGTCCCCAGTGATCTCTGCCCTCCTGGTATTCATTCCTGTTGGTAGTGCCCTCTTATGTTGTTCCAGAATTGGTATGTATTATCAGTAGGATATGACAGAAGTGATGGCACGTCACTTTACAGATTAGGTTATAAAAGACATTATGGTTTCCATCTTGGTTGCTCACTTTTTCTTAGATCAACCATTCTTGGAGATGCCAGTTACCATGACATAAGCAGCTCTATGGAGGGGTTCATGTGGTACCTCTTGCCAACAGCCACATGAGTGAGCTTACAAAGTGGATCTTCAAGCCCTAGTCAAGCTTTCAGATGACCTCAGTCCCAGCCAATAGCTTGACTGCAACCTCAGAAGAAATCCTGAGAACTGTCCAGCTAATCCACTACCAGATTTATGACTTTCAGATTTGTGTGAGATAAATGTTTGTTGCCTTCAGCTGCTAAATTTTGGGGTAATTTGTCACAAGCAATAGATTACCAATAACCAATATTATCCCCACTTGATAGATGAAGAAATTTAGTTTCAGAGACATTAAGTTTCCTGACCAAAGATACCCAGAGCTGGAATTCAAACCCATTTCTCAAACTCTGAAAGCCCAAACTCTTAGCCACTCTGCTGTACTGCCTTAAATATAAATATATATACAAATATACATATATGCTTAATCTTATGTCACAGTACTTATTGTTTCCAATTAAATTTTTAAAATACCTATAATGTACATACTGTTAAAAATAGATAATCTATTAGGCGCTACTAGAGATATAAGGGAGGACTGGATAGGCCATATATCCTCATGGATTTTATTCTATAAGGATTTAACAAGTATTTAGATGTTCTCAAGTATGTAGGAACTCTCAGTGATCTGCCAGAGCCATCTAGTGTCAATTCAGTTTAATGGCAATCTACACAGTTAGAAGTCATTTCATAAATGATATTTACATTCATTATATTTAAATGATATTTATATTCATTATATTTAAAAATAAAATGGTCATTTCATGCCATTTGAATCCTACTAATTTGAAAGAACATAAAACATCTAATACTCTTACTATGCGCACAAAATGAGAAATAATGCCAATCTTTACATTATTCCCACAGAAAATTCAATCTGGAATTTCTCTCACCTCTGAATAAGGTGTTCGTGCAATATTAAACTAATTCTCTAAATACTCTATACCAATGCTTTTCTAATTTCAGACATTTCCTTTTCTGATTTCTGGCAAATATGCATACCTACAGAAGTTTCTTTTCACTTAAGTGAATGCGACAACAGGCATGGAAAAATCAGCAATGAGAATATAATCAATCCTAATTAATTTGCGAATTCTGTTTTTGCAAATTTACCCACTCACTAAAATTTATTTGTATCCCCAAAATCAATACTTGCAGCATCCTTGTGGTTGTTTGGGGGAAAGTGCAGAGCAGTGAAAAACTTGAGTCACCTGATGTGCACATTCCCAGTTGAGGCTGAACAAGGAAACACTCTGCCTTCTTACTTTAGCTATTACACCAATAAACGAGTAAACTTTTCTCAGTATATCTGATGCCAAGTTTTTCACATTTTCTGCTTTGTTTGGTGATTTTGTCATTTAAAATGGCCCCTAAGTGTAGTGCTAGAGTGTTGTCTAGTGTTCTTAAGCACAAGAAGGCTGTGCTGTACCTGATGGAGAAAATACATGTGTTAGATAATCTTCTTTTAGGCATGAGTTATAGTGCTGTTGACTGTTAGTTCAATATTGAATCAACATTATATATTAAATAAGATGTCTTTAAACAGAAACATACATAAAACCAGGTTATGTATTGATCAGCTGACAAAAATGTTATGACCAGAGGCACACAGGAACCAAACCCTGTATTTCGCCTAGAAGCAATGCTTTGGTACTTTCTAATATGTTTGAGGTGCTTTATGAATATAACTACTTCAGATAATAAGAATCAAATATATAAGCTATTGATCAGTATTTTCTATTCTATCCTTATTTCCAAAGTGTTATAGCGGAGAGTTTAGTTAAGTTCTAAATCTTAAGTGCACTGAACACTGCATCTGAAATTCATAAACGTAAAGACAGAATTTCTATAGTATTATCTAATTTAACGTTGTCCTAAACAAGAAGATCTGTTATGTCACAGTTTTGAAGGGCTAATTATAGTTTTCAGTATATATTAAGATAAATGCATCATATTAAAAAATTTTAAGTGTGCATACATGTATTACATAGTGTATCTCATGCACCACCCAATGGTTCATGTATCAACAGATAAATGAAGCAAATTTGAGTAAATATTGCTATATATATTATAGAAAAGTTATTACCAAATTTTTCTATTATGAAGATCCTTTTTAATAAAGGAATTTTATAAGCTCCATCTGAAAATTTACACTTTTCTCAATTCAGATTAAGAACACTACTATAGATTTTAATGCAAAACAGAATAGAGCATTCAGCATGGGAATAGCACAAAGAAAGTGTGATGGAATATAAAATGAACAGATGATACATCAAGAAACAATACTTTGGCGTATACCTGAAACTAATGGCTTAGAATTACACTGTTGACCCAAACACTCTGCATTAGCCACAGGCTGCTGCATATAGAGAGAATGGCCCCTTAAGATGTTGTCTGTTGTGGCCATCAGCCTGGGCCTTTGTCCTTCATTAAGTTCACCAGCACTGTTCTCCAAGTCCTTTAAAAAACAGAAACAATTGTTAAAGCCATTATATGAAAATCAAGTCAAAACAGGAAATTTTGTTGATTATTATGATCCGTACCACCTGACTACTTGAAAGGTATTTTAGAAAGTTCTTAGTATAGCACATACACATTATGTAAAAGACAACTTTAAAAAGCTGGTTTAATAAGACATCTAGTGAAAGACTTTGTTTTTAATATCCTATTTGTTATGAAGTTAACCATTATCTGTTTTCCAACCTCCAATTAGACAGCAATAAAACATGTAAGAAAATTCTGTTACAATTTAAAACAACAAATCCCAGAATGCATTACACATTGTTCATACAGCTTAAAATTAGAATGACAGGAAATTTATCTCTCATTCTTCATGAAGAAAAACTGCCTAAAGTTGTTAGTGTGAATTTTACAATTAAATAATCAATGAGGAGAATAACATACTAAATAGCAAAAAGATTCCACTGCTGGGAATATACCCAGAGGAATGGAAATCATCATGCCAAAGGGATACCTGTACTCCAATGTTTATTGCAGCTCTATTTATAATAGCCAGGAGCTGGAACCAGCCCAAATGTCCATTATCTGATGAGTGGATGAGGAAACTGTGGTACATCTACACAATGGAATATTACTCTGCTATAAAAAAGAATGAAATACTACCATTCACAACAATAAGTAAACAGATTGAAGACTATTTTAATCATACTTAATAAAGTTCTTTTCCCTGGGAAAGTATGAAAGTACAAAAAGCACAAATGTGTCTATCAAATATATGAAATAAATGAACTTTAAAATATTAACATTTCTATTTTCTTTCTATCTTAAAAATTATATACCTGAAGCACTAGTACATTTTGTGACTTGAAGATATTTTAATTAATGAGTTCGCTAATGAAGAACTGAATAAAAATTCCAATGTCTGAAATCTCCCATGATCCTCATTAAAAAGGGTTTAATTTCAACCAACTGTTTTTTTTAACTAGAATATGAAGAAATTACTGCTGAAATATCTTTTACGATTCTATTGACTATAAAATAAAATCTAAACTCATTAGCTCAACATTCAAGATTCTCTACAATTTACCCTAATTCTCCTCTGTACATCTCTATCTTCCCTTATTCCCTTAACCTGACTGTTCTTTAGGAAAACCAATTGCCTCAACATCCTTTAAATAAAAAAATATCATTTGCAATTAATATGAAATCCCTTGAAGACTCTTGGGCAGTGTTTAGAATTATGGCAGATACATTTTCCCCAGAAATTAATTAGAAATATTTCACAGTGCTTATATTATGCTGCCATCACCATATATAATATTGTGCAATAAACAGTACCTTCTCTATTGTGAGTCAATTTTCTAGGATACTTGTAACTGCTGAACTATCTAACACCTTAAGAATAGTCTATGACCCCACCAAAGACAGCTTGCTGATTTACAAAATGCTCTCACACTCATAAGTATGTATCAGTTTTGTATTATTCTCAAAGCTTAGACTCATGCTGATTCTAAATTAAATTGTCTGTAATTTGTAGTGATGCACCTGGCCCATCTTCATAAATGTATACATTGCACTTTTGCCATTAAACAGCCCTCACCGACCTAAAGCCCTCTCTAGACAAGGAGTTTTAAGCACAAAGAAACTCCACTTCTTACCAAAGCAATCTCTTAACTTATAAGTGTATTGTTATTACTAGTTCTTATTATAAACAAAAGAAATACTCAACAATTCTGTAGACATATGAAAATATGCTGACACTGTTAAACAGACTGGCAAAATTTAAGAAGAAAAACATCATATGTGGTATGTGAAAGAGGTCTCATGTAATTACAGGGCAATTTATTAGTACCTACTCAAATTATAAATGGTTATATCTTTTGAGCCAGCACTTCTACCCATCAGTATCTAATCTACAGAAAAAATTCCTCATGAGAGCAAAAAAGGATTTTATTGATATCATAGTTTGAATAAAGAAAAATTGGAACCAATCTGAAAATCCTTCAATAGTAAAATAAACTATGGTAAACTACATGGCAAATAAAAATATGGTAGATTTTCAGGATTTGTGTTAAATTTTAAAAAGCAGTTTGCAGAATAATACATATACACATCTCAAATTTATATATTTATTTTTATATGTGTATATGTATGCAAATGCTTAAATGCTTAGAAAAAGATCTGGAGAGAACAGAATTCCAACTCTGCAGTCTGTTATAGCCAGGACTGCACAATACCAAAGGATGCCAGCTCTTTCTCCCCAAATCAACCCTAGAATAACTATAGAAATGAGAAGAAATCATAGATTCTGGGAACTAAAGTAAAAATTGTGAAAAACCACTGAGAAAGATAGATAGCTAACTTGAACTGGTGTGTGTGGGCTGAATCCTTGTGAGGAGGGTGACTGGAGGAAGTTAGTGAGAGGAATGATTGGAGGAAAGCACTTGCTTCTTTCGCCCATTAACTTGAGATCATCACTGCTTGCCCCTTAGACATAAAAATCTTGTTGGCAAACAACCCAGGCTGCAGATGCTGGTACCCCACAGTAATTTCAGGAAGCATGAAGGCCCAGCAGAGGTGAAAAGTTGTAGGTGAAATCTGGCCAAGAACTCACCGGCATTTGTTCCTTCACCCTCCTCCCCTCCAAACCCTGGACTGGTGGATTACAAATCTCCCAAAGCAACTTCTTCCTAAAGACACAACAATCTCCCAAAGAGGGGAGTGGTGGAGTAGCAGCAAACAGCAGTGATGATGACCAACAGTAGTTCTGTGATGCCTGAGAATCTCCTCCCTAGGGCTCATCTTCCCTCTTCTTCCATTCTTTGCAGCAGTTTATGGTCTGGTTTTATCCCTACCCATACAAATTCTCAGATAGAATAGCTGACCCTCCTCCCCCATGGAACATGAGCTCATAGGTCAAAAGAACAGATACCCAAGGATTAATAAGTATTAAAAAAAAAAAAAAAAACAGACAACAAAGTGACTGATATTAATCACACACAAAAATAAGGAAAGATATTAAAATGAAAAGCAAAAAGTCATTAAAAAAAAAAGAACCAAATGAGAATACCAGATATGAAAAATATAATAAATGGGATAAATAGTAGGCAAAAGAACAAATTAGTGGTTGGCAGATCAGATTGGGGAGCATTCCCAGAGAAGAGTAAGAAAGAATAAAGAAACAGAAAATCTAAGTGATAAAACTAATAGAAGTAGAAGTGCCAATATCCAGATGTAAGAGTTCTAGGGAGGTATGGAAAAAAAAAAAAATGAGAGGAGGAAAAAAATTGGAAATAATGGAGATAAATTTGCCAGCATTAAAAAGATGAAAAGGTCTGACAGAATCAAATGAATAAATGAAGAAAAAAAAAAATGAGAGGAGGAAAAAAATTGGAAATAATAGAGATAAATTTGCCAGCATTAAAAAGATGAAAAGGTCTGACAGAATCAAATGAATAAATGAACTGATATTAGTGATTTCCAAAAAGGCAGAAAACAGGGATTAGTCAGTAGAACTTTTAAATTATGCTGACACTTCTGCTATTTGTCACTTCTGTCTCTCTCTCTGTGCATCCCTCCCCACCCCCCTTCTCTGTCTCCGCTTCCTGGTTTCTACACCAAGTATCTTAGTTTCTGCTGCTATGAGAGTACTTAAAGCCTTAAGTTTTCATTTTTTCCATTACTAAATCTCATATCTTCTTCTCCTACCTTTCCTAATCATTTAAAATTTTAAGAATAACAATTAATAGAAAATAAAACCAGCCATCTCTTTGGGTTCTATATAGTTTTTAGCTCATCTAAATGTAGTTTCACGTTTGATCAAACACAACCAGATCCAATAGAAAAAGCACTAAATAGAGATCAAGAATCTGAGTCCCAGCTTGATCATTAACCAACTTCAGCAACGACCTGTACATTTCTGCCTGGAATTTCCTTAAGCATTTTAAATTTTAACATGTTGAAACGAATTCATTATCTTCCTCACAAAACTTGGCACTCTTTTCTCTGCATTTCTAAGCCAACAACTACATAACCACCCACCCAAGCTCCCAATGTAGAAATCTAAAGACTATCCTTCAAAAACTCTTCTTCCTTACCTCCTTCAACCAATGACCAATTACTGTCAATCCTATGCCCTTAAATTTAAATCTCTCTCCTCTCTGTTTCTGCTGTAACTGTCTTTGTTCATGCTCTCATTCTCTCTCATGGACTGCTCCAAATGGTGGTTCTGACAGATCTCCCATCTTTTCCTCACTTATCCATGGCTTCATACTTCTTCCTAAACATCTTAGCGTGTGACCCCCTTGCCCAAAGACCTTCATGTGCTCTACAGTTCCCAAGCTTTACCATGATCTAAATAAAAGATTCTTTGTGATCATGAGGTTCACTCTACGTCTACAGACTTATCTGACTCTATATCTAAAGCTCTATTCACACTGAGAATTTAATACTTTCTGAATATGCCCTAATATTCCTTGGCTCTCATCCCTTAACATATGCTGTTTCTGCTTCTGAATTGTCCTTCCCTTTCATTGCTGCATGCAAGTTCTATTCAGTCTTTGAAAACCTAGATCAATATAATATTCTGTATGAAGTATCATCCATCTTCAAGCAATCTTCCCTCCTCTGTGCTGATATATCATATAGATAGCACTTGTAAATAGAGATATTTGGTCAGTTATCTTGAGTACTTGTTTAAGCCCTTGTCTTCCTGCATGACTGTAAGCTGATTGAAGGTAGAAGTTATATCTCATTCACCTTTCTACCTTTACCAAGGTTGTATTTGGCATATAGCAGATATTCAGTAAATAAACAGCTTCAATTTTTTCAAGTGTAGAACAAGAGGGTTGTAACACCTGGTCTAAATTCCTTTCAGTTATAAATCATTACAGTTCTATGATTCCAGCTTAAAGTTGCTTCAACACTGACCACTGAATAAGTGAAATACTAGCATGCTTTAATTAAAAGTAGGAATATTTTAATTTTTCTGTATTTATACCTAACCAAAAAAATCATTAAGATTAAAAAGTACCTCTGAATGATATACTGCTTGCTGTGAAGCTAATGATCCCTGGTTTTGTTTAGCAAGAAGAGAAAGAATTGCATCTATATGAATTTTTTTATGGGGCATCCTAATCACTTGTCCTTCACTGGGAGGATCATCTTCCTAAAAGAAATATAAATACAATTAATGTAAAAAAAATTTTTATTAAACAATTGTATTTTTCTCAATTTTTGATTAATAAAAACTTAGTAGTCATCAAATGATAATAGCATTTTTTGAAAAAAAGATGAACTCTTTATTTTCATTTAATTCTCCATTTCCATCTGACTGTAATAAAAATCCTTTATATTTGCCTCAAATATAAACAACAGTATAAAGTAATTCAGTAAGTTTAAACTGGAGATATATTATAAAAACATGAAAATTGGACCCTCTGTTCCATGCAATTGAGTTATAGTGATTCATAAACATTTAATATAGTTTCCTCAAATTTTTGGCTTATGTGGTTTCCTACTTCATAATTTTTGCCATGCACAAAGCAACAACGCACTGTGGCAATGGGGGCAAAGCACTGTGGTAATGCTGCAACCCAAACCACAGGCAAAAGGAAAAAATGTTGAAATATGGAGGGCACCTGTAGACCCACAATGTCCTTTTGCTTTTGTGCCAACATCAGCTTACTTGACTAGGGCGCTGGTACTGAAAGACCTCATGAGAGCACCCTGCCTCAAAACAGACCTGTCGCCAAAACGAGGAAGAATATGGGCCTCAGAGTCAGACGAACTGGACTCCCTTGTAAATTTTAAGGCTTACTTGACTAGGGCGCTGGTACTGAAAGACCTCATGAGAGCACCCTGCCTCAAAACAGACCTGTCCCCAAAACGAGGAAGAATATGGGCCTCAGAGTCAGACGAACTGGACTCCCTTGTAAATTTTAAATCCATTAAAAGTATTTTCCATTTTAAATTAAATTCATTAAAATCACTTTAAATTATTTTATTTTTAATAGAGTTTCTTAACGCTGG